ATGTGGTATCATGACAGTTATAGAATTGAGGTGTGAGAGTTAATGGATCTGTATATATATATAGTTATACTTGTTCAATTATTTCGTTATTGCATATGGTTAGATTTAACTCATACATATATGATCATAATTGTATCCAGTGTGTGGAGTCAGTCGCAAGGGAATTGTGATTTGGAGAATGACATCATCCTTAATAAATTAGAGTTCGACTTGATTGGTACCTTCCTGTACTTATCTAAGCATATATATATATGCATGTAGCTCCTTATATTATATAATTGAATTAATTAAATTATATGAGAATGGTTTAGTTGATGATTACATCTCAACTTGTGAAATTACGGAATGTGGGAGTTAGATCTAGGGCTGCAACTTGGGCGGGTTAGGCGGGCTTGGTACTCATCTCGGGCTAGGCCCATATAGAAAATCTTCAGCCCAAGCTCAGCCCGAGCCCACCTTAAGCCCAAGTCGAACTGCCTGAGCCTAGCCCATACATAATTTGTCCAGCCCGAGCCCGCACTAAGCCCACATCAGAAGAATTTGTGTGCAAAAAATAAATCAATTAATGCTGCACCCATGATTTGAATCTTAAACCTTAAGTACAAATCCCAAACACATTACCAACTTGGTTACTACACATTTGTGACTTAAAGTATAATTATAAATATATATAATATTTTCAGGCTCGGGTTGGGTTTCGGGTTTCATCCAAATCAACCCAAGCCCAGCCCGAATTGAATTCGGGCTCAAAACATATAGCCTAGGCCCAAACCAAAATTAGAAAAATATTGTCCAAGCCCACAAAATTTCGGGCTGGGCTCGGGTAATTTCAGGTTGGGCTCACCCGAGTTGCAGCCCTAGTTAGATCCTAGTGGATGTATGGTACTGGTCTAGTGTTAGATCTATGAGATGATTAGTAAATTTGTTAACATAGTCATATATGTGTAGGTACATGAATCAGTTATTAGTTGCCAAGTAGCCTAGTTTCATATAATTATATATATATATATATATATATACATGGGTGCTTGATTGGTTAAAATTTGAGTATGTTGATAGCTATATAGAATTGGAAAGGTATAACGGATTTATTATACTAGTACTCATGAAATTAGATATTTATAAGTTTGAACTCAACATTGTAGTAGAACTTAATGAATGTCAAAAATATAACTTGCATGACGATTGTTTTCCTTTAGGAGATTTTGAATGGTTTGATGTGATGCAAAGTGGGCTTATGAATGAACTACTACACTTGGTTTACATTATATAAATAATAGCTACAGGGAAGAACTTTTAAGTTTATGAATTCGGTACCTCTTAATTTGTAAATAAATAGTTAAATAATTAGTTTAATAGGCTTCAATTGATCAATGAAGTGATAGTCATGTTAAATGGTCCTTCTTGACCCAGATTGTTGGTGGGTGAATGTGATTGGGGAGTTTTGCGTAAATCGATTGAATTTGTCTTTGGGTGTGCTGGATGTTGTGTAAAGAAAAAAGAATAATATTTGGAATGTTCCTAAGATTACTAGCATTCAGGTTATGAACTAAAACATATGGATTACTTTAGACAAAAGGGTTAGTTGTAGATTTAGGTTCATTTGGAGAACTATCTACTCTAAGAAGTGTTACTGATTTATTAAGAGGAATGACTGTAAGTGGTAATTAATTATTATTGTTATTATTATTTGTTAGTTATAAGGAAATACCTGAGGTTACAGTTTAAGGTAATGTATTAATTATGCAATGATATTTATATCATTAATTTGAATAATAATTGTATAAATATGTTTGGTATTGTTATAATATGATTAATTTAATTGATATGATTTTGGAAGGTGGGATTCATTCCTTACCTGTTACTTGATGGTTGGATTCGTCCCTTACCACATGCTGAAGGTTGGATACGTTCCTTACCTATTATAGGATGGTTGGATTCGTTCCTTACTACATATTGGAAGGTTGGATTTGTTCCTTACCTTTGGACTGATTCATTCCTTAAATGAAATACTAGGATTTGTGCAAGTAATTAAGAATTTAAATGATTAAAGAATTAATGATGGAAGAGTTGTTACTATTACATGTGAACAACAATATATATGCTTTCTTTTGCTTATAATATATTGTGCAATTGTTATTAAGGTGTAGTAAGAGTTTATTTATTGAGCTATGAGCTCACCCTTTATTTAACATTTCAGGTAACACGCCTTGGAGCAGAGTTGATGTTGTTATGATGAGCATCTTTGATATTTGTTTTAGTTGATTTCCTCTGTATACAAGACATTTTTGAGTGGAGTAATGTATCCATTAGAATTTGTTACTTGTTATTCATACCGAACACCATAAATTTTACTTATATGTACGGTTATTTTAATCCTGTTAATAAAGTCATTTGATTGTTATTTGATGAAAGATAAGATTTACATATGTAGTCATGCCATGTATGGAGAGTTGGGTGAGTGAACCCTTTATTGAAATTGGGGCGTGACACATAATCCATCAGCACCATGCGGGGCGTAAATTGTCTCAAGGACATAATATCCAATACTAGCTTCGGTCCAGGTTCTTTATTTATTATTATTTTGTTGTTTTAATTTGCACGTTTAATTAAATATCGAGTTGCATATTTAATTAATTATTTGTTAGCATATTATTAATTATCCGATGGTATATTAAGTATAAGGTTAGTTATATCTTAAATGTCATTTGAAACATATATTTTCCAACAATCTCGATGAGCGCTGAAAAATGCGTATTTAAACCTCTTAAGCTTAGATATTCTAGGACATTTATCTATCTTACTTTTTCATTTTAGATTAATTTCATGTTATTGCCCTTTTTAGGTGCTTATCCCCAAAAGAAGCTAATTCAGCCAAATAAGAGCTTAAAAGAAGCTAACTCAAGCTGGATGGAAGAAAGGAGTAAAGTGGAAGTAGATTGAAGCAAAGTATGGAATTCAGCAGTTTCGATCGATCACAAGTACACTTCGATCGATCGAAAGTTCATCGATCTAGACATTTCAAGATGGATCCAAGCTCTTTTGTCTTTATCCAAAGATCCTATAAAGTTCGATCGATCCAATAATTCTCAGATCGATCGAAAAGATTCCATCTTATCCTGTTGTACAACCCCATCTATCACTTTTGTCTCTTTCCCCAAAATATCTCAAATCTGTCCTTATCCAAAAAGGCGCCGCCATGAGAGGATTAATCCAACCAAAGTTTGATAGATCTCAGCCATGTTCGATCGATTTCACCACAAGTTTGATCGATAGAACTTCCTCAAGCCCGAAAAAAGACAAAATCCAGCTCATTAAAGGTTGGCTTATGGTGCAATCATTGGAGGAATATTGATGTGCGAGCCCAGACTATTGGGTGTGATATTTTTAACCTACCTATATAAGGAATATGAGCCATATTTGAGAGTATACTTGACATAACTTACATATTGTATAACATATTCTTGGAAAGGAGGCTAGAGACATTCTTGAGAGGTTTTCCATTTATTTCAAGAAGAAGAGTATTTCTACCATGGAGATAGCCCATGAGGGTTGAAGGACACCATTCATGAGTGGTTAAACATCTTCTTGGGACTAGAGTTAGCCCTAAGCATGCTTATTTTATCTTGATTCATGTATTTTTGAGGGGATTTGTGTTGTAATACATGTTTTGACATCTTTATATACATATATCTTGTTTATTCAATGATTTGTGTGATTTAAGTCTTCCAAGTGACCATTTCATTCTATCCATATGTCTATGTATGCTAGAATAGATGTTCATGTGTTTATCTATATTTCTTGTGTTGTTGATGCATGTATATGTGTATTAATGCTATAGATCTAGAGATTGTCAAGACATAGTACTTAATAGAATGCTCTTATGGTTTATTTGATGGTTCATACTCATTTCTTGATGGATTGTGCCTCTCCCTTAGTTTAATTAGTTTAATTTTCATATCATTAGCTTAGATGTAGTGTAATTACTTTAGTTGTTAAATGGGAGGACAATCCACACTTGTTGTTTAATGTTCCATACTTATGAATGCAAGTAGTATATTTCTCTAATTTTGTGATGTGTTTGGATTGCGAGCTTAAAGAAGATTAATGACTTAGTTTGATGTATTGTACTATTCATTGTATTGTCCAGACAATATACACTTAATTAGTCATCCATGTTTGTTGAAACAACCACATACACTCACTCTTGTTGTAACATATGCTTTCCTCTCATTAATTGTGAATTGAGTATAGAGAAAAGTGATGCTTAGTGGTGATCTCTAAGTTCCAAGACCTCTCTCTTTTGTTTTCTCTATCCTTTAATTACTTGTTTGATATTGATCTTATTTAGTTTTAATTGTAGTTTAATCAACCAAACAACCTACTTTTGATCACTCGACCTACTAACCCTAAGCCTTGTTTCCACTACTAGTGCACCCTTAATCCCTTGGGACGATCCTTATTCACCCTAACTATATTTTTAGTTAGAGGTAGTAGTGGCATTTATAAATTTAAAACTTGGCCACATTGCATATTCACTACCTTTTGAACATCCTTTAAGCATTGGTGCGATGGCAGCACCAAGTTTTTGGCGCCGTTGCCGTGGATTAAATTGGCAACACCGTGTTTTGGAAACATTTAGGAATTAATACTCTTTTGATCGTGTCTTTACTTTATTTTTATTTTTAGTTACTTATTGTGTTTGTTTTTATTTGACTAGGTGACACTACAAGAAAAATGATTATTTACAACGAAATATTTATAACATGCAAAATTACACCTTGTTAAAAGGAAATTTTACAACATGCTTCCATGGGCGTTGTCAGATTGAAAACATACGACGTTTTGAGCATGTTGTAAAACTAATTTGAAAATTTTTAGCATTAATTTTAATTCAATTTCCCGCGCGCACATGTCTATCGCCTGTGTATATATTCCCGCTGATATTTTCACTACTTGGCTTGACAAGAAAATTAAAATAAATGAAAAATATAAATTCAGTATATAACCACACACCCAAAACACGCACAATAATAGTTGACGGATCGAAGCCCTAACTAGTACTGAAAATGTGTTTCCGTCTTTCTATCAAGCCATAACGCCTCTCTCCCTAAAGCTTTTGCAGTTGGGCATCAAAGAAAACCCTAACCCCTAATGGTAACACGGCTCAAAGAAGAAACCCTAGGTCTGGAATCCTCCTTTGGAGAAGCGAAGGCGTGCTAGGCGATTTGCGGACAGCCGTTTCCGCTAGGTTTGTTTCCAATCTATTTCTCTCTATTTATACAAGTATATACGTGTGTCTGTATGTTTGTACTTTCGGTCGATCCTTGATCACTTTGATCGTTCACTCTGCTCGTCATCTCTATTTCTATCCATCCCCGACTTAGATTGAGTTGCAGAGATAGGGGAAACCTCGGCATAAGGGCTTGGCGCCAATGCATAAATCTGACTTCATCAATTTTGATTCTTATTTTTCTGATTTCATAATCAATATACAAACTGATCTTGTTTTCATTTTTTTTTCTCTGTTCTTTATCAGTAAATTAATTAGTAATTATTTGGTTTTTCTCATATTCAATTAGGCACTTTGAATTGAAGCTAGTGAATGGGAATTTTAGTTTGAAATTTTGAAGATATTGGTTATTATGAATTTGGTGTTTCTCCATACTTCCTTCTTATATTTATTTGGGGTCTTAAAGCAAGGATTTTCAATTTTGGACTACTATAGGAAACAGGTTGTTAAAATCATGGTGTATATAATAATCTACATGACAGTTAAGGAAAAATTGTTCATGATCAATGAGACAGCTTTTGAATGCCTCAATTATCTCAATTAAAATGTTTTTTGAGTGACAAAAATTAAGAAAGCTGGTTTATAATATGCTTGGATCTCTTTTTAGAGAATAGTTCTCAAAAAATCGAATCACTAGAGGATGAGTTTTAGAGAACAGCTTGACCAAGTTCTCAGAGTTTTGGGAATAGAGTTTCCATCTTTGAGAAAACACGGAGAACTCCAACTTAAAATGACTGAACTTACTCCGGCTGTTCAAAACATCGTCCGTTCCTCAGCCACAAATTCCCTTCTCTAGACCTGCAAATCAACTCTTCCTCATCTCTCCCGGTACCTTATATTTGACTCTCGCTACCTATCTTCAGCATCTACATGTAATCATCCATCTCTCTCTCTCTCAAAGATTTTTGATTTTTTTTTTTCTTTAAAAAATACAAGATTCACTCTAATCTTATATTCAATTGTATAAAGATAGCTTCAATTTTCTTCTTTCTTTTTTTTCTTTTTCTTTCTCTCGTTCTATTGTCGATTTTGTTGGTTGAGTTTGCATTTCTTTAATGTCTGGGTTTCTCTTTTGTTGGCTGGATTTCTCTCTCTCTCTCTCTCTATATATATATGTATATAACGTCCCTAGGCCCTTTGTCTTGTAGACTGAGAACTCTTGGAGAACCTAAAATCGATGTAACAAATAGTTGGTCCTATTCAAAAAATAAATTGGCAGAATCCATCTTTATTTTTCCCCCTTTTTGAGAACTTGTGAGCATAGAACTATGGATTTCTTTTTGTTGTGAATGGAGAACTCTTGGAGAATACTATGACTATTTATAGTGTGTCAATTGTACACATGATCTTTGTTTGCAGAGAGTCTCATCAGATCAAACCCAACGGTGGTTTTGGACTGATATATTTATTCAAGAGTGTAGATCCTACAAGTGGTTCATGTTAATTAACTATTTGTTCATTGGTCAAAATGACAAGGTGATTATTTTTTATGAAGTACAAAGAGGATCTAGATTTAATTCATTAAGGAAATGTTAGCTGTAGTCAAGTATTCTGAATTAAGTAAATTTTAGTGAAGCAAGCAAAAGAAGTCATGGCCTCATGGGATAGAATCACATATTTTTACAAGTGATGCTCCAACTTCTGTATAGATGATGCCATTTTTATCTATTTTTTTCATGCCATCCTATAAAGGGAAGAAATATATGCTTGTACTATTGATTGCCTTTTAATATTACACTATCCGTTTTTTAAATTCATCTTCTTCTTTCTCTTATAGAGGCATAGCAATGAGATGAGATTGAAAATTTGATTCTGCTATTAATAAATTGCTCTTTGCTGCCTATATATACTTCATCTAGTTTTAAGAGGAATAGAGCTTTCTCCCTCCAAAAAACTCGAAGATAACAGCACTAGTAACGCTTGTTTGGGAGAGACGGAATTTAATTGACAACATTTTCAGATAATTGTAGTGGTATTTTCCCTCTTTACTTATTCTTGATTTTTCATGTTGTGTGCTATTTTATTTTATTTTTGCCAAGTTTTGTTCCTTCAGTTGTTAGGTTTTTAAGGGATGACTACATATGAGGAAGTATGGTACACTTTGAATGTTGGTGATTTCTTTGTGTGTAAAAGTTGAGTTTGGTGGTTTTATGTAGAGGAGGTTGTATTTACATTGTGGTATTGGAAGTGTTGCTCAGTCTTCTACTGGATGCTGTGCTATAACCTATTGTTGTTGTCACTGGGATGTTTTGTTGGCTTCATTTGCTGAATTCTCCTGGCTATTTGGTTCATAGTCATTCTAAACACCAAAGGACATTTAGCCTAATGGTATAATCTCCCCGTCCTCAAAGAGAATGAGAGGGGTTCGAGCCCACTGTGGGCAAAAAGTATGTGTTTCTTGCCAGTAAAAAAACAAAGTCATTCTAGACCTTTTTATTTTTATTTTTATTTTATTTTTTTACATTTAGTTTCTTTCGGTCTTGTTCTTTTGTTTGGGCTCCATTTTGGTTTGCAAAAAATTGGTGGGTGTAAGGTTTTCATGAGTTGTATTTTTTTTTTTTTTGGGAAATGCCCCTTGTAGGCTATTTTTGGGAATTCCCTTGATTGTTATATGAGCTTTAAAAAGAAAAATTGCTACCAGCTATAAGCTAGCAGAGTGTTTAGTTTGTCCTTTCAAGGAAACAAAAAAACTACACGCAATTATGTACGTAGACACTACATTCATTTAATATTATGAATGGAAGAAGCCCCAAAATAGAAGAGAGGTTCAAGTTTGCAACACAATATATGCGCATCCTAATAATGTACCTCTCTTTTTTAGGCATCACTTAGTAGCCTAGTCGGTAGAGTGCCTAGTTTCTTGAACGGGTGTGCCTGTGGTAGATTGATTACTTAGTTTCTCGAATGGGTGTGCCTGTGTTCGAGTCCCCTCCCCCCTAGTTTGCCAGAATAATAATAAAAAAATTTATTGTATAAGTTAACATCTCAAAAATAAATAAATAAATAAGTGGTGTGTAATTTTCTTAGGTCAATTTTTTTTTTAGTAGGTAAAAAACCAAACAAATTTCTGAGTTTTTGTTCTCTAAAAATAGTTTTGTAGTTTTTTCAATTAATCAAAATTTAAAATTTAAAAATTATTTTCTATTCTTATTATCTGAAAATTATTTTCGAAAACTGAAAATAAATCTGGGCAGGGCTTTTGTATTTCCAAGATTTCACTTCTAGTTCCCTTGAATTCAATAAAATGTTGACAAACAAATAATATAACACCCCATATAATTGAAAAATGGAAAAAAAAAAAATAATAAAAATAAAAATGAGAGAACCAAAAACACACACACCCACACACATATAGAGAGAGATACCCACCTGCTTCCTATAGCTTTATGAAACTCAAGAATAAGTTGTTCTTCATGGGGTGTGAACTCATCATGCTTGAGGTCAGGCCTCACATAATTAGTCCACCTAAGTCTACAGCTCTTCCCACATCTATTAAGTCTTGTATAGAAACTTATGATCCAAACATATTAGGATACGTATATTTTAGTCTAGTTCACTCTCTTAACATCTTAGATTAACCAAAAAAAAAAAATGAAAGAAAAAAAAGGCTAATGACCTTTTTATTATTATTCATTAGTGTATTGTATTATTATTATTATTATTATTTATTTTTGAAAAGTTGAGAATCCAAAAATTAAGGTGGCTGTAGGAGATTAAAGGAAGCATACACACTTGTTGCAGTATGTGATTGAGGAAATCTATTGCAGTATTAGTAATATGTTGATTATAGACATATATGTTGACTATGTTATATCAAGTTGATGATCGAACTTCTTTGGAATTTTTTTTATATTATATTAAGTTGGTTGAATTATTATATCATTCTTTTTGCATGAACAGGATCACCCATTTTAAAGCTCTTGAAGGTCGTGGTTGCATAAGAAGACCAGCTAATAAGTTCCAGAAACACTCGACATGATTTTAGCTGACTATATATATATATTTTGTTGTAATTTGAGATATTGATTTTCATTGTAATTGATCTTGAACTAAAATTTGAATTGTTAATTGTTTGCATTAATGTGAAGTACATGTTTAAGAAATTTTTTATTTTTATTTTTATTTTTTTTGCGTATCATGTATTTTGTTGTTTGGTATGCTTATGTATGGTTATTTGATTGGTTTTCTCAATTATTATTATCGTGTTAAGGGTTAAAGTTTGTATAGGAGGAAAATAATGGGCGAAATTAGTTTATTTTATTTATTTATTTTTTAAAAAGAAAAAATTACAACATGCAAGTGAGCCTTGTAAATATCCAACTAAGATAATTACAATGTGACATAGGACCTTATGAATAGTGCAATTACAATAAATATATAACTCTCGTAATTGTTTGTTGGGCTATTTATGAAAGGTTAGAAACCTTGTTGAAAATACTATTTACAACATGCAAAACACCTTGTGAATATAGAAACTATTTACAACATACCATGGAATGTTGTAGATAATATTTTTACAAGGGGTATCCTTCTTTTTTTACAAGGTGTCTCACATCTTATAAAAACGAGGTACTTTTTACAACAAGGGATTCAACAACATACTACTTGTATGCTGTAAATTACTTTTTACAACCCAAATGGCTTCTTGTAAAAAGTCATTTTTCTTGTAGTGTGAAATTGAGTAAGGAGGTTAAGCAAAGGAGACTTCAAAGTAAAGAGCTAAGCTAATTACAAAAAGGACTAAAAATCTAAAAAAAAAGCAAAGTATAGCAAAGTTTGGAAGTTGAAAATCAATTGAAGTTGCTTAAGAACCCTTTATGAGATCTTTCTAACTCAAGCTCTAGTTAAATCATCGGCCTGCGTGGAGGCTATTTACTTTTCTTTGCATGTTGTTTAAGCATGGGAGTATGGGATCATTGAATGTGGAGATTTGTTGATTTATTTATTGCGGGGGCGAAGTGATTGTTACTTGCTTGTTATTTAGTTTTTTAGTGTATGCATGGTCATAGGTTATTGAATCCTACTCTTGTCCCTCCTAATTTGCATCTTGAATCGGTTGTTCGTAATCTTAGGGGAAGGGGTAGTTCTTATCACCCCATTTCACCAATGGAGAATTTGAATGACGACCATGTAGAGGACCTTGGTCACATAGACTAACAAGGCAACCTCCACCTTAATGTGCATCATGAAAATGTTGAAGTACCATTAGGCATGCCTATACCATTGATTCACCCACAACAACAAGGCCAAGTTCCATTGGAATTGCCTAGGCCAATATTTGCTCCACAACCCCCCATAGTTCAAGCTAATCAAGGTGTTCGTGTAGCACCACCAATTGTGAATCCTCCCATTGCATTAAGAGACCATTATGTGCCTAATGAATACAATGTACCCACTTGCATTCAATTGCCTCCATTTAGAGCACATCACTATGAAATTAAACCACAAACTATTCAAATGCTTCCAAACTATCATGGACTTCCAAGTGAAGAACCTTATAAGTATTTGGATGAGTTTTTTAAAGTGTGTTCCACTGTGAAATACACGGACATGCCGGAAGAAGTGTCAAGGCTTAAACTTTTTCCTTTTACCCTTAAAGACAAGGCAAAATATCGGTTCAACAATTTTAGGTCTTTTTCGATAACTTCTTGGGCGGAAATGCAACAAGAGTTCTTGAAAAAGTATTATCCGGTTTTTAAGACCAATGCCATGAGAACTTCCATTAGAGAATTTTCTCAAGGGGATAGGAAAATGTTTCATGAGGCATGTGAAAGGTTTCATGATTTGCTAAGAAAATGCCCACATCATGACATACCTAAGTGGCAACTAGTTTAATATTTCTTTGAAAACTTACCGGATAATCACAAGGGTATGGTTGATGCATCAATGGGTGGTTTTTATCTTGACAAGCATGAAAATGATGTGTGGCAATTGTATGAAAGTATGTGTGAAAATTTCATGCATAGATCCTTATCTTCTAAAAATGGTAGAAATCTAGGAGGAAGGAAGAATGTTGGCTTGTATCAAGTTGACAACTCCAATGATATAGCCGCCGAGATGAAATCCTTATCTCAAATGTTTGATCAATTCTTGATTAACCAAAACTCGGCAAATCAAATTTCTTCCGCATTTAATCATGTTCATCATCGTGCATCTAATGAATCATGTATGACTTGTTCAAGTGTCTTGCATTCTACTTCTAATTGTCCCCATAGACATGTGCAAAATGAAAACCATGAGCAAGCCAATGCTATTTGTGCTAACCAAGGGAATAATCCCTATGACAATCATTACAATCCTAGTTGGAGGAACCATTTGAACTTTTCTTGGAAAAGCCAAGGGGAAGGCTCAAACCCTTCCCAAGGTGGTTTTCAAGGGAAGTATGTTCCACCTCCGATGCAAAGCCAAGGTTCCCAAGGTTTTAGATCATCATTTCAATCACATGGTAATCAATTTTCTAATTCTCATTTTCCTAATCAACCATCATATTCTCAAGGAAATTCTAGGAGTCCCGCCTTTGAAGAGAAAGTTTTGACCGCTCTAGGTACTCTAGAGGCGAACACTCAATTGCTTCATTCTCATTCTCAATCTATTGCTAAGCTAGAAATCCAAGTAGAGCAAATAGCTAGTACTTTAAATGCTAGAGAGAAAGGGAAAATGCCTTTGAATGCCCCACCAAAGCAACAATGTGTTGTGGAGACTCATTCCTCATCGGAAAGTCCTATAATAGAGCATGTCAATGCGGTGACAACCTTGAGAAGTGGGAGAATCATTAACAACCAAGTAGGTGTGTCCAATGAAGAGAGTGAACCGGTGCAACCCAAAGTTGACACCCATCCCGTTTCTTATCATATTCCTCCTTCATTGCATATGCATGATCATTCAAATAAGAAAGTGTCAAAAAATGATTTGAAAAGTGAGTTCAAAAATGATTTGAAAGATGAATCAAAGCATGATTTGAAAAATTCTTGTGTTGATGATGTTTCAAAGAAGGATTTTGAAAAAGTTTTTGAACCAAGAGCTCCATTTCCGGATGCCTTGAAATGATCCATTTATCTTGACAAGCAAAAAACAAAGACAAATGAAATCATTGATGTGTTTAGGCAAGTGAAGGTTAATCTTCCGCTTTTGGATACAATCAAACAAATTCCAGCTTATGCCAAGTTTTTAAAAGATCTTTGCACCCAAAAGAGGAAGAACAAAAACCAAGCACCTAGGAAAGTGGCTTTGACCAAGCAAGTGAGCTCTATTTTGCAACATAACACTCTTCCAAAGTTTAAAGACCCTGGTTCACCTACTACATCTTGTGTCATTGGTGACCATGTCATTAATCGGGCTCTTCTAGACTTAGGAGCAAGTGTTAATCTTCTTCTATACTTAGTATATGTCAAATTAGGCTTAAGAGATTTGAAACCGACGTCGGTGGTTTTTTAACTTGCCGACTGATCCATCAAAAAGCCTAGGGGTATCATTGAGGATGTATTGATTAAGATTGATAAATTTTTCTTCCTCGTTGATTTCATTGTCATTGACACGGAACCGGTTTCGAATCCTAAGAGCCAAATTCCCGTTATCCTTGGCCGTTCTTTCTTGGCAACCGCGAATGCCAACATTAATTATTGGACGGGGATAATGAAGATCTCATTTGGCCACATGAAAGTGAAGTTGAATATCTTCAATTTAACCCCGAATTCATTTGACAAGCATGAGGAAGTGAATGTTGTAGAGAAATGTCGTGCTAATAAATGTGAAGGAATATAGTCTTTGCTTGAAACCAAAATTTCAAAAGGGTTATCTTCAACCCTGAATTCGAAAAAAGTTGTTTCAAAATTTTGTTTTAAAAGGGCATGGAAGCCCAAAGATCACATTGAAAAAGGACCAACAAGTTGCTTTGAGCCTAATCCAACAAGTTCTCCAGGGAACCATTTGTTGGGTGGAGTTCAAAGTACTTATCACCCCATTAAGGAGGGGATGCACTACAAGATGTTTGATCCGGGCTAAAAAAGCCCAACATCTTACTAGAGACGTTAAAGACTAGTACATTTCGTAGGGTGTTACAACCTTATTCCTCCCTCATTTCTATTTTAAATTTCATTTCTTGCAAAGTTTAGATATATGCTTTAGGTTCATATACATTGCTAGGAACTGTGATTAGGATTGCATGCACTTTCATGTTGTAAATAGACATTTTGTTCCTGTTCAATCGATCTCAAAAGAGGTTCGATTGATCGAACTCCATACCTGCATCCAATCATCTCTCTGTCCAATCGTTCGAAGAGAATCTGCATATTTCAGCTCTCTGTCTGATCAATCGTAAATTATTCGATTGATCCAGATTCATCTTGGATCGATCTGCAGTCTCATCACTTGGAAAAATTTTGAACTTGCATCCAACCTGCATCCAAAGACCTCTTTGTCCTATCGTTCGAACATGTCTGCAGATTTTTGCTTGTTCGATTGATCGGAGTACTTCTGAGACCGATCTTGGAGAAATCGATCTCTGTTCTTTGATTTACTATTTGGACTTTGACTTTGACTTTTGTTTCGAATTTTTTTTTTAAAAAGAAAAAAAAAAAGAAGAGAAATTGTCAAAAATACAAAAATATTTATCTTTTTTTTATTTTATTTTTATTTTGTTTTTTTTTAAAAAAACTTAGATATTTTCAATTTTACATTTTTAATTTTATTTTATTTTATTCATTTTCCAAACAAAATCCAAAAAACATTTTTGATTTTTAATTTCTAATTTTTAAAATTTTAATTTTGCAAAATTCAAAAATTGTTTTAATTTTTAATTATTTTTAATTCAGAAAAATCCAAAAATTTTAAAAATAATTTTGTCATTTAAGAGGAGAGATCGATTCCAGTTCGATCAATCGAACTGAAAAGGAAATGTTTTTAAAAATTGAACCTAGGGCCATTCGATCAATTTCAAATAAATCGATCTTCAAATCCTAGAGCCCATCGCCGCTGCAAACCTTCTCTTCCATCTCCGGCGAACCCTCCAGTGACTTCATCTCATCCCGAATCTCTCTCCCTCATCCCAAATCTTGGATTTCATTCACATCTCATCTTCTCTCTCGGTTTGGGGTAAGATCTGAGA